AAGGAAGGAAGGAAGGAAGGAAGGAAGGAAGGAAGGAAGGAAGGAAGGAAGGAAGGAAGGAGAAAAGGGAAAGGAAAAGGAAAAGGAAAAGGAAAAGGGAAGTGGTGCAAGAGGAGAGCACAGCACTGCACAACTCATACCTCCTTTTGCTGCAAGATAATTTCTCAGTGTTTGGTGCTCAAAGCAGAGAATATTAAGAGCTGAGATGGAGATGCACAAATTACAGTGTGCCAAGTTCAAACGGTTTACATTTCAAGAGCAGTTTAAATGTAATGGTTCATACTGATTTATGACCTTTGTAAAACTGATCTGGATTAAAGGATGCAATCAGGGCAGATGTACTTCTTTCTAAAATGGACAGTCATTTCAAGACTGAAACATCTCAAATGTACAAAATGTCAGTACCTTTCTTGGTCTGCTTGGATGTCTTGCAAATCCTAATTTAAAGTGCATTTGCTTTCTAGGTTTGAGGGGAGCATATGTGCAAACAAGCACTGAGGGAAGCATTCTGCATCCGCCAGAGATGTGTTTATGGGTTTAAAATACCGGTATGCTGCCTTTCAGAACAAAGCCTTCCCAAGGCAGCTTATAGAATGTATTATAAAATAAAAATTAAATATAGGCAAAACGATCCAATTTAGAATTTTTAAAATGCCAGTATTCTTAAAATGCCATCAGCTTTAGCACTTCTCACAGAATACAGCTGAAACAGGCCATTTAAATCAAGATGAAGCCACAAGGTTTTCTTTGGAGAGACAGTTCCAGAGATGTTGGTTCATCGTTGAAAAGAACATAATGGATATTGATGGTGGCCCTACAAGCAGATTCTCACAAACTCGGGCAGTTTCATATGGATACATTCACCCTTTCAAATAACCAAGTCCAAACTTTTAGAGCTTAAATGCTTAGGCTATGTTTGCTCCTTAGACTCATCAGTCTTTCAGCTTGTTAGCTTGGATCATGAACAATATTAGGCATCATTAAAGGTTTATGTGCGTCCCAAGACTTTTTTTTTTTTTTTTT